TCCTCCTTTATTTATGCTGCTCTTATATCGTGATTCCTTGCGGATGTGTTGATGTGTGCTTCTTACGATTGTATTGATTATCTTTGTTCCCGATGTCTTTCACAATTCGCAATTAAACGTCGTCTTGACATATAATAAACCATAATCATTACTCGTCGCTCTTAACCAAGTACCAGCCATAAAAACGTAACGTAATTAGTGGTCACCCAATTGGTCATCGTCCCACACGTTGAAGTGTTCTCCTTACGAAGGAATTTGGTCTTGTCACTTGCCCACCCTAAGGGATGTTCCGAAAAAATTGTGGTCGTCCAGCCCGGAGGCGTGGACGTTGTTGACCACATGCCCACCCCTTAGAATGTACCGAAAACAAGCGACCTTCGCCCACCTCTTGGTCGAGGTGTTCCATAAACGAAGGAATTTGGTCTTGTCACTTGCCCACCCTAAGGGATGTTCCGAAAACATTGTGGTCGTACAGCCCGGAGGCGTGGACATTGTTGACCACATGCCCACCCCTTAGAATGTACCGAAAACAAGCGACCTTCGCCCACCTCTTGGTCGAGGTGTTCCATAAACGATGGACTTTGATCTTGTTTGGAGAAATCAGAGGAACATCGTGTTGTGAACATCTTGTTTGGAGAAATCAGAGGAACAGAGAAGAATTTAGACATAGTATCTTTTAAGATTAGCTACATTCCATGACCTAGCCAATGACCTGCCCTCCGCGTCCTTCAGGGAGTATGCTCCTCCTGCATGTACCTTTTCGACCAGGTACGGTCCTTCCCAATTGGGTTCTAACTTCCTCACATGCTTGAGCACATCCACTCTCTTCCATACCAGGTCTCCTACTTGGAATCGGCGGATCTTCACTTTCCGATCATGTGCTGCCCTCATCCGTTGCTTGTATGCCTCAACCCTGGTCGAGGCTTGCTCCCTGAGTTCTTCGATAGTGTCGAGGGCGGTCATCATGAGTTCCTCATTCGGCTCTTGATTATAGGTGCTCGATCGTTGGGACTGCAGCTCTAATTCAACTGGCAGAAGTGTCTCCATCCCATACACCAGGCTAAAGGGCGTTTCGCCGGTGGTCGATCTCGGAGTGGTCCTATACGCCCAGAGCACAGATGTTAGCTCGTCGACCCAGGCTCCTGAAGCTTTTTCCAGTCTCGTCTTCAGTCCGTTTAAAATGATCCTGTTGGTCACCTCTACCTGCCCGTTGGCCTGGGGGTGGGCGACAGAGGCAAAGTGTTGCTCGATACCCATTTCTTCGCACCACGCGCTTACCCGCTTTCCATTGAATTGAGTTCCATTATCAGATATCAGGACTTTAGGGACCCCAAATCTACAGCAGATGTTATTGTACAGGAACTGGATCACTTTTTCTTCCGTTATCTTAGCCAACGGCTCAGCTTCCACCCATTTAGTAAAGTAATCGACCGCCACAATCAAAAATTTCCGCTGCCCTGTTGCCGGTGGCATTGGCCCCACTAAATCGATGCCCCACTGCGCGAACGGAATGGGTGCACTCATTGTAGTTATCATCTCCGCCGGTTGGTGTATGAGCGGACCATGCTTCTGGCACCGCATACATCTCCTGGCCATTTCTTTAGCATCCGCTTTCATCGTCGGCCAGAAGTAGCCTGCTCTTAAGATTTTCGCGGTCATGGCTCCGGCTTTGCTATGATCACCACAGTATCCCTTGTGCATTTCCCGAAAAACGTACCGACCCTCCTCTTTGGATAAACATCTTAGATGTGGGCCCGCATATGATCGTTTATAGAGAACCCCACCTTGCTCGAAAAACCTCCTTACCACCTTCATGGTTCCTTCCTGAAGCTCCTTCTGGATTGGATCCCTCCAGTCCTCTATCTCCTCGATCTCCGCCACCTCGGCTTCAGCCGCGCTCTTCTCAATATGAAGTAGGGTCACACTCCTACTCTTGCAATCGACCAAATTCTGCGCGATTTTTGACAGTAAATCAGCTCGACCATTCTCCCCTCGAGGTATTTGTATTAATTCAAATGTCCCAAATTCTTCCTTTAACTTCTTCATATTGTCCACATGACGTTGTAGTCGGTCCTCCTTGATCTCGAAGCCTTCTTGGAATTGACCGACCACTAATTGAGAGTCGGAATGGACCTGGATTTTCCGAGCACCTCCGGCCAGAGCCAATTGCAATCCCTTTGTCACCGCTTCATATTCCGCCTCATTGTTTGATACTCGGAATCCCATCTTGACGGCAAATTCTAAATAATCTTATTTGGGCGAAATCAAGACTATCCCCAAGCCAGCCCCGCTCCTCGATACCGAGCCGTCCGCGAACAACTGCCACATTCCTCCGTCATCTTCCTCCTCCTTCGTACCTTCCTGTATGAAATCGGCCAACACCTGCGCTTTGATCGCCCTTCTTGGTTCATATATTATAGAGTACTCGCTCAGCTCGACCGCCCACTTTACTAGTCGACCAGACACCGCTGGTCGACCCAAAGTCTCCTCCAACGGCATGTTCGTGCGCACCTTGACTTTGTGGCTCAGGAAGTATGGCCTCAGCTTTCGGGCTGTCACGACTACCGCCAGTGCACACTTCTCAATTTCCGAGTACCTCAACTCTGCTCCTTGCATTACTCGACTGACATAATATATTGGGAATTGTGCCACTCCTTCTTCTCGCAATAATACTGAGCTTACAGCACTCTCGCCCACCGATATGTAGAGCACAAGCTCCTCTCCATGAATTGGCTTAGCCAATAAGGGCAAGTTAGCCAGCGTCCTCTGTAACTCCTCGAAGGCTTTTTGAGCTTCCTCTGTCCACTGAAACTTCGAGCTCCTCTTCAGGGTTTTGAACAGAGGGCTGCTCTTTTCGGCCACCTTGGAAATGAATCGGCTTAGTCCTGCTATTCGACCAGTTAATATTTGGACTTCCTTCACACTGGCCGGTGGCTTCATCTCGACCACAGCTCTTACTTTTTCAGGATTCACCTCTATCCCTCGCTTTGTTACCATGTATCCCAAGAACTTCCCTGCCTTCACGCCAAACGAGCACTTAGCCGGGTTAAACTTCATGCCGTATCTCCTCAGCGTTTGGAAAGTCTCCCTTAAGTCGCCCACGTGGTTCGCCTCCATCTTACTTTTTACCAGCATGTCATCTACGTAGACCTCCATATTCCTCCCCAACTGATCCTTGAAAATCTGGTCGACCAATCGCTGATAGGTGGCCCCAGCATTCTTTAATCCAAACGGCATGACCACATAACAATAGATGCCTTTGCTCGTTATGAAGCTCACTCTTTTCCAATCCTCTTTCGCCAGGGGGATCTGATGATATCCTTGTGATGCGTCCATCAGGCTGAGCAACTCGCATCCTGCCGTGGAGTTTACCAGCTGGTCAATCCTTGGCAGCGGGTAAAGATCCTTCGGGCAAGCCTTGTTTAGATCACGGAAATCGATGCACATCCTCCACTTTCCTCCTGATTTGGACACCATTACCGTATTGGATAACCACTCGGGGAACTGAATCTTTTTAATGTGTCCAGCGTTCATCAGCTTGTCGACCTCCTGCTCGATGATTTTGTCCATCTCCGCACCATGATGCCTTCTCTTTTGCTTCACCGGTCTGACACTGAGATCAATATTCAGTCT